ACCAGGCTTTGATCGGTAGCTTGTATTATATCGTTTGTTACACTAAGGAGTACTGTGGCGCAGCTATAGTTTTTCCTAAAGCCCGATTGAAATTCTGAGATTAGTTTATCTCTCAAAATATTCATACATTTGAATTTTCATGATCTTTTCCAACACTTTAGATAATGTAGGAAGTATGGAGATTGGTCGTAAATCTTTGAACTCCTTGGGGTTGTTATTTTTCGCAATGGGTGTAACGTGAGCCAGTTTCCAGTTGGATGGAAAGGTAGATGAAATGAAACAATGATTAATGATGTGGGTGATGTATGGCACTATAAAAGGACAGCAAAGATTAATCATGTCAATGCCAATGCCGTCAGAACCAATAGACTTAGATTTAATACTATTTATAATATTTAAGACTAAAGTTTCATCGACAATATTAAACTTGAATGTTTCGTTCACATGTGGATGTACAAAATTATATAGCGATGACGAAGACTGTGGGGATGAAGCAGTAGGTACTGAGTTAAGAAAGAAAGTATTTATATCACTAGGATTTCTTAAGTGAGTCGGTATATTAACGCTACGTTTGTTGAACACATCTAAATCCTTCACGGCTTTCCACATATTAGCTTTGTTGTTATTACTTAACGCATAATTAAGGTAGGCTCGTTTTTCGTGTTTTATAGACGATGCCACAAGGCTTCGTAATAATCCCAGTGCGCCCCCTTTTTGGATTTTTTGAAACGTCCGTACGCCTTGTCTCGCAACCTCATCATCAACCTTACGTTATCCGTGATCCACGGCATTTTGCGTTTATGAAACGTTACAGTTTTTAACGGAAAATGATAATTAAAAAGATTAAGGATATGACATGATAAGAAGAAAACTTTATCATCGCTGTGCGCGATTGTAAGTAGATTGTCCCAATGAACACCCTTTAAATCACGCTCAAATTGCATAAATTTAGCGTCAATGTCCTTATAGCACCTACAAGTTGTAGTGTGTGGTGCATTTACATAGTGGTCAATAGATATAGTGCATGTAACGAACTCGTGATCAGAAAACGAAATGCAATTACTTGTCTCACAAGAAATTACGGTTTGAGGCTCAGACACAATAATGTGATCAATTAGAGAAGCTGTGTCTCTAGTTACACGTGTGAAATCCTGAACAATTTGATGTAATCCTAGTGATTCCAACATAGACGAATATCGAATTGTATTATAATCATTAGTTTTTAGCAAATCTAGTCCGCTGACTTTAGAAGTTATATTTAAATATATATATACATTCTGAATTAACAGTCCTGGATTCTGCTCAAGTAAATCAAAAATCACTACAGCGCGTTTCACTCGGTCAAATCGATCTTAAACTAAGATGCAAGTTTGCCTTGGAAGCGGTAGGAGAGCTTGCCCATTGACGGTCATCCGCAAACGGTTATTCTCGTGTGGGGTGAGTAGCGCAGGTAGGCGATTCTGCGGTCGCCATCTGTTGGGTTGGGCTAACCCTTTGTGTTGGCGCTTGTCTTGCTTAACTTAGATGCTTGTGGTTGTTTACGGCGGTTGTGTGTAGGTGGGGACAATAGGTCCGTAACAATACCCCTTTATAGTAAGGATTGTGTTTTTTTGTTAGAATTAGTTTTTACAATCAGTTTGTGTAGCAGTACAATGTAATTAACTATAAATAATAAAACATGTTTGTTTTGTATTTTTATTTATTACCATCCTAAGCAAACGTGTAATCTCCCAACATTTTTCCAAAATTGGTTAATAGAATTTCCGTACAAGATTTAAGATGATAACGAAGTTCCAAAATTAATTCTTTTTAATGTAATGTAAATTTCTTGATGAAACTTCCGAGACATTTTATTACTTCTGCTCAATCGATATATTTGAAACGATCACAAATACGCCAATCCCGTGGGTTCTATTTATTTGTTTTAATTATATAAGGAACTGTATAAGTCAACAGAATAAGTCCTGGAGCGGTAAATCTGTGCTTGAGAAAGGATTTATATAATCGATAAAATAAAAGAAGGTCTCATAGAACATTTTAATGAAACAACTGGTGTTGATGTTCCTTTATAAATGAATTTCTCTTGCATTATTTAAATGCCAGTTTCGATTTAATTTACTTATCTGTTGCGGGTATTATTACTGGTAGCAAACAATGTCGAGTAAAATTCCTAATGTACTAATGACAAATAGAATAGCTCCTGGGGCACTTCATTGTAGAAGATTACACTAATTACTAACTAATTTGAATGGTAGTTGCAGATATGCATACCTAATTATGTAGGACGAACAATCTGAATTTTGCATCTTAATTAATTCTCAGTTAGCAATTCAATACTGTGATATTTAATTATAGTTATACAATCATGCATTCAAAATCAATTTGAGAATGTAAATGATAATATATATTATATAAAATAAAAAAGAATTATTGTACTTGCTTTGTGTATTTATTACAGTTTTTCAAGTAGAGTTTATAAAGTAGATTTCTTAGGCCTTGATGTGCAGAAACTTTGAGTATCTTATTTTTTATGAACTTACAGAACAAAAACGACATGTAAAAAATAATAACCGACCTAAAAAAGTAATGAAAATCGTACGTTGCTATCAGACATTTTCAAGTTTGGATAAGCAAATAACTCTCGAATAATAGAAATATCAGATGGCATGACAATGATTTTACAACAATTATTTTGAAAAGCATGCATGGAATTAAAGCAGTTAACTTACAATTCAAACGTTCATTATTTTCTGGTAAATCGGATAACATTTCGTAGTTTGATTATTTTTGTAACGAATTACTTTTGTCTTAATTTAAACGATCAACGGGCTATTGAATTTTTAATTCCATTTGAACACGTTGTGTATAATGTAGTTTAAAATTTGAACTTTAGTCCGTTTAGCAATTATCAAAACCGTAAAAGTTATGTAAATATACATAAGTGAGATCGTGATTATAGCTTCGGTTAAAAAGGCTAAAGTTGGTTGAAGGATTAATGTAGATGTGTGAAAGTAAAGAGCGCTAACTAACTGAGGAGATTTAAAAAGTGTCCGCCGAATGCATTAGTTCCCTAACGTATGTAAGGACGTGTAAAAAGTTAATATTTTCAGCAAGTTTAACAGTGCTGAAATGCCAGACGCGTCTCTAATACTGATACATGGCTCCCTGGAGCCTGTTAATTGCGCTGTGTGTAAACACCACTCGACTCCGGCTTGACAATTTTCAACATCAGTATGGGTCTTTACTAACAAGATCTCGTCAGCATTCGTGGGGAGAACTTTCCCTTGTACATTCTATATACTTTTGTTCCCGCTATATACTTTGTTAACAAACTCATGTAATCTTGGTTTGAAGCAACTCGCATTGTTAAAAGTCAATAAAGTTAATTAAAATTCTCACTCCCTTCATTATCTTACATACAATCATTGAATATAGTGTTTTTATTCAATGATACAATGGACGTTCATCTTATGTACCATAATCCTATTTTAACGTACCGGAAATAAATTAATATTTTATATGCTAATGGCATTATTAAGAAGGGTTTGAATCTACTGATAAAAAATACTTTATATGGAAATCAGTTTCTGGAAATACCCAGCGGTAATGTTTTCAAATGTAATCGAAATCGAAGAAATTGAATATCGCAGTATTTAAATATGAAATGGCGGAAAACGCCGCATTCATAAAATTTTTAAGGTTGGTATAAAATAAGTATATAGATAGCAGCATCACCGAAAGTGGGCAAAAGGTCTAATTAAATTACGTGTGCCTAACATAAGATTATTTAATTGAATCGTTTAGAAGAAAAAGTAATCCCAGGAAGGCGATTGAAATTTAAGCAAAAAAACTATGTGCATTTCCACATGTAATCCATTCATTGAAGTAACATTCAGAGTAACTATATTTTGTGTGGTGGTTTCGTGTATATTCGCTATATATATATTTGTGTGGTGGTTTCGTGTATATTCGCTATATATATATATATAACAATTCAAAAGTCATACTCGAGGCTCCCAGAGAGAAGATTTGCTTGTCGCACTTAAGAAAACTAGAGATGTTTTCACAGTTTCGGTGAAAAACGATTAGTTGCCGCAATGCATGAACAAATCAAAGATAGCGAAGACATAAGAGCAAAATTGAACAAAATTATTGATGCTACTAAGGAAAATCTATTCCAGGCTCACTGGTAACAAGTAACCGGACTCAGACAGTCCAAGGCCTTTTTAACAGGGCCCCTTGACAAATCAGAAGCCAGATTAGGAAGATCACCGGTGTCCTTACGAGGGCACTGGATGGTCAACTCAACTGTCACCTGAATAACATTGGGCTCGCGGAGGACCCCGCGTGTAGGTTCTGTGGCGAGGCAGATGAAACTACCGAGCATGTGGTCTGTCACTGTGACGCTTTGATCAGGGACAGACATCAACTCCTTGGAGACAGCTATCTGGAACCGGGGAGGGTGAAGCAACTTAGGCTAAACAGGGTCCTATCCTTCATCGAGAGGAACGGGCTCTGAACTCACTTGCAAAAAAAAGGGGGTAGGCACAATGGGCCTCTGGTGTGCCTAAGTGCTGCCCGGTCGGGCTCCCCTCCGAATAGAATAGAATAGAAGGAAAATCTAAAAATAAATAAAATTAGAAACAATAAAAATCAAGGTATCTTAATAGAAACTTTAGTAGGACTGAAAAAATTACTAAAAATAAAAAACTGAGGAAGGCTATTATAGCTATGAATAACTTATTCGAAATTGTAAAAAATTCACTTGGAATTTCTATCGACATCAAGGGTGCTTTCGATAACGTGTGATGGTCATCAATATCATATGAATTAAAAATTATGAATTGCAAAAAATATTTATCGAACATTATTAAAAATTATTTAAAAGATAGGAATCAACAAAATTAATTGTCTTCGTCACCGTTGAGGTGCTGGATAACAGCCGTCTGCCAACAATAAGGTAGGAATATTTATTTATTGGACTAGACTAGATATGAGTGTGTTACATGTTAAATTCACCCTAAGTTACTCATGGGTCATACTATATATGATGTGAACGATGTGTTGCATATTCTTAGGATATTTTCGTCACTAGCTATCATATAGGATGTCATAGGTCACATTCCAGTTAGATTATCTTTTAAAAAAGGAGACCGTTGTGAAAGGCAGATTATGAACGGCCATTGCTGTGCAAACTATACAAATTTTGAAAGAAATTCGTTAACCGATCTTTAGTTGCACAAGCATTCATAAATTAATTTTACCCAGTATTGGGGATTTAAAGGCCGCTTACTTTTAAAGCCGAACTGGGTATGTAGTTGTCCAACGTCGTTTGTGTCATTCTATGAGTAGTTTATAGCTTTTAGTGAGAGGTACGTTGTCCGAGACCTAGGAAAAACAAAGTGGTTGAAGTTCGTGTCACCTGTTAGTCATTCCGTACCCGTAGCATATAGCGTCCCTGATATCGGAAGTTACTTAGACATCGTCAACATCTTCGCAGTCCACGCTTAAGTTAGGTAGCCAGTTATTGAAGCCCTCAACGACTTGGTTGGTATGTCTTCATGTAACCTATGTGTGTCGTCCATTGGGAAGTCGTCTAGCCAGTTGGAGGCATACTTGTAGATACAGGCGGGCAGTTGGAAATAGTCATTCGGTGGTACGAGCCACTGCCGATGAATTGTGTAGTTGGTAGTATTATAAAATATAAAAGTTTGGGAGTCAGAGCCACTATTTGTGTAATAAATGTTGTTGTCACTTACTTGTATGTAAAGGTGATTCGTCGTACCGTCAACCCAGCTATTGCTGACGCACAAAGACGCTCTGAGAATCACAAAGAACGAAAACACCTTAACGCTGGCATAATCGCATAGCCCGATTAGTTTATTGTTGCCCATATTCTAACATCGGGGTTGTTTCTCTCGACTCAATTACCTACTGTAGTTCCAAATTACAGCCTATCCGAACTACTGTCACTTAATTTATATTATACAGGGTGCGACCGGTAGAAAGCGCTTCCTACAAGGGTTCGGCCGACCTAATCAGTGGTCATTATTACCAAAAGGTATTGCGGATTAGTCGGCAAGGGGGTTCTTGGAGAAGTCCCTGTAGTCACCGCGAAATTTAAAGCCGCTTCGAGTCACCTTAGGCTTGTTCATTTAGTTGTGAGAGTAGGAGAACAATTTAATTAGTTTTATTTGACATTAAATATTCATTAGTGGCGTACATTTTGTTTCTTTCCTTTTTCTATTGCGGCAATACCCTTCCTGTAGGTCCGGCAGGAGAGTCACTAGGGATAAGGACCTGGCGCCTCCCGAGCATTCATTTAGAGTTCGTTCTGAAGAACTACCACGCCCGCGCGAGAGTTAGCCGCGGAACCTAAGTTACCTCGCCGCAATTCCCGACAGCTTAAATAGGTAACAA